TTCTTGGCCGGAGGAATCCCATGGACAGAGGAGCCTGGTGGGCTACAGTCCTTGGGATAGCAAAAGAGTCAGACATGACTTAGCGACTGAACAGTAGCAGCAGGATTATGTGCCACAGAGTACAAAGCACTTGACATGTGTTAACTTATTTAATCCATTTCCTGATGTAGCACAGTGGGTTTGGCAGAGTTAGGGTCTGGGTACACTTACGCAGACTGGTTCCAGGGTTTTGCTGTTGTTCAGTCGCTCAGTTGTATCTGACTCTTTGTAACCCCATGGACTACAGTATGCCAGGCTTCTCTGTCCTTCACCATCTCCCAGAGTTTGCTCCAACTCATGTCCATTGAATTGGTGGTGCCATCCAACCACCTCATCCTCTGTTGTCCCCTTCTCCTCCTGTCCTTAATCTTACCCAGCATCAGGGTCTTTTCCAATGAGTTGGCTCTTCACACCAGGTGGCGAAAGTATTGGAGCTTCAGCATCTGACCTTCCAATGAATAGTCAGGGTTGATTTCCTTTAGGAGGGACTGGTTTGATCTCTTTGCAGTCCAAGGGACTCTCAAGAGTCTTCTCCAACACCACAGTTTGAAAACATCAAATTCCAGGGTACTTCCTCTTAACTTCCAGGCTACACTGCCTGCATCAAGTGAGTGCTGTGAAGGCCACTGGACCCCAGGCCTCTCCAGGGCACCACAATGGTCCTGTTGAGTCTGGAGTCAGCCCCTAAGTCTGTGGTCTTTGCAAAGCTCCTGGGTTTTTTTCTCATAGTTGGGCCTCAGGCTGCCCCTTGGTAGAATGGGGAGAATGGAGCTTCCTGCCGGCCCAGGGTTCTCCTAAATGTTCGTTCAATAAAGCACTGGTGGGAAAGTGCTTTATTACCAGCGGAGTACCCAGGGAACTGTTAGGGTTTGTTTTTTTCTCCTCCACCCATCCTGAGAAAGGGTGTTTTTCCTTCCATTTCACAGATGGGAAAACTGAGACTCAGAAAAGCAAAATACTTTTTCCAAGGTAATCGTGAGAGCCAGCCTCTGGCATCGCTTTCAATCTTCGACCGCTGTGCGGGAGGGGTTGGGGGAGGGGGGAGGCAAAACACCCCTAGAGGGCCAGAGGGAGGGGTTCCGGGACAGCTAGCTGTTCGCACGGGAGGGGTGGGGCGCGCTTGGAGGTGACGGGCTGGGGGGCGGGGGAGGAGGGGAAGGGGGCGGGGCTCGGGGGGGGGAATGGTGCAATTCCCGGCCTGAGGGCATCAGGCGGTGGCTGATTAACTCAGGTTTACATCACCCGGGCCAGAGCTGGAGCCCTGCTCTCCGCGCTCCCGAGACACTCGCAGCGGAAGCGGCGGCGGCTCCGCACACGTCCGGCCGCTGGGGACCGAGGCCAGAGCCGCACCCGGAGCCGAGCTCGGCGGCGGCGGAGTAGCGTGGGCCACCGAGGAGGGCCAGGCGACCCTGAGCTCTTTCTGCGCCAGGACCCCGCCGCGTGCTAGGGCAAGGTACTCGGTGGGGGCGGGAGGGGCGGCTTAAGTTGCCGCGAGTGACGCACACTTTTAAGGAAGCCCGCCGTCCGGGGAGCGATGTTGGCTGAGTGTTCCCGCTGGGTGACGCGGCTCCGCAGGGCGCGGTGTCGCCGACTGTGGCCGATCGGGCTGCGGGACGGTGGATCCCCGCTGGGCGGGGAGGCGTGTCTGGGGGAGGAGGGTGTGCGCCGTCCGAGTCTGTCTGAGCGTGGGGCGGGTCCGGAGAGGTCCGTGGTTGGGTGCGGGGAGGTCTGTGGGGTCCCTGGGAGTCAGGTGGTCCCGGGTGCCTGTGAGATGTGTTCGTGAGGATTTGCTGGAGTCCGCGTGGGCCGGTGGGTTCCGGGTGGGGCCGTATGTCCGAGGACCGTGCGGAGGCCTGGGCACTGGGCGGCAGGTACTGGCCGTGCCGGGACCCACTGGGGTGCCTGTGGGCGGGGCGGGTGCGGGGTCAAGGGCGGCCTGGACGCTGCGCGCGCGCACAGATATGCGGGGCCTGATGACCACCGGTTCGCCAGCTGTAGGATGCGCGCGTATTCTGTTTCTGCCAATGGTGTGTGTTGTACCTGTTGATTCTGGGGTGTGCGGGCAAGGCCGCTTATCTCAGCCCCAGGGCCCAGCCTCCTTCCCTTTGCCTGTCCCCTCCCAGTCCTCTAGCAGCCCCTCGGTTTCCGCTCAACCTTCTGCCGGGGGTCGGGGGCGGGGACCGAGCGGTACTGCTGCAGCCCCGCCGCTTCCGCTCCCACGGGAGGAGCCCAGCTGCTGAGGGTGGGGCGAGTCCGCCCACTGCCTTCTCGGTGGGAACTTGGGGCGGGTGGGGGGTACAGACTGGACGTGTGGCCTTGTTGGTATCCGTCCTGCAGTCGTGAGTATAGTTGGGAGAGCTCTCGGTGCGTGTGCCTGCACCCTTGCGGGTGGAGGGCCAGGTGTGTGTCACTTAAGGACACGGATGCCCCTCTCTGCCCTGCCCGTGTGCCATGGGGGCCGGTTTGGATGACTGTGTTTGGGAGGGGCGGTTGTACACCTGTCTGCCCTGGGTTATGTGAACATGTGTGTTGGGTGTGACCCACCCTATTCCCCTGGGAGGGATAGGGACCGGCAAGAGGTAGAGACTAGGGGCTGCCTCCATCCTACTGCAGAGATTCTAATCTTGCCCTGTGGCCTGCAAATTCCTGTATTTATCTATAAACTCAGTTACCCCATCTGTCCACTGGAGCTCATCCCAAGCAGGACCAGGCTCTGAGCCCTGGATAAGGCCAGAGCAGCCTGGGGTACTGATGTAGCCATGGGAGAGTCACTCCGGGGAGTCTCGCTTTGCAGGACACAAGGCATCTACATACCCAGGGATCATCTTGCTTTACTCTTGGAATAACCAGTGCAGTAAAGAGTGTTAGCCTAGCCTCATCCCTGGGGAAGTTTCTGGGACTCCCAAAGGTAGCACTTCAGCATCTTCAGCTGTGAATAATAATAGTAATGAGCCAATGGTAGTGACCATTTTCCTGACACCCACCCTGCAACAGGGCCGTGTTAATTTATTTGTATTTTCATTTCATCATCACAAAATCCTATGGGCTTTGCATCCTGTTTCCACTTTACAGATGAGGTACAGAAAGTCTGAAGAACTTGCCTAGGGCTATCCAGCCAGGAAGGGTCAGAGACAGGTTGAGATCCAGGGAATATATGATGACAGCCACCCCCTACTGCATTCTCACCAAAACGGGATTATGGCTCTTCATTCAAGATGATGGCTCCCTCCCTCCCAAGGCAGCCCATGCATTTGGGAGCAGCACGACTGGAGAGGTGGGCATCAGCCTGAGAACTGTCTCTGAGTGATGTTCCCTCTAATCCTGCCTGGGACTGTTGGGAAGGTCTTTACCTGGCTGCAGTCCATTGTCCTCTAACACCTCATTCCTGGGCTCCTTGTTCCTCCCCTGGAGCCTGGATGGGTGGGCAGACAGATCCTGGAGAGAACCTTTCTGCCCTGACATGCCATCGCCCTCTTCTCCACGCACCACACACACACACTGACACAGCTGTGTGGGGGCGGGGCGGGGAGAGGTGCTTCCTCTGCAGTTGAGTAAGTGAATCCTGGGGCTTCCAGCGAACCTTGCCTCCCTGCCTCATGCTCACCTGATGGTAAAACTGAGCTGGCTGGTGGACTAATTCCACACGTAGATCCTGTGATTCTGGTAGCTCTTGGGCCATCAGTTGATTGCAGACAAAGTTCACATTTGAGAAAAGAAATAAACTCCATCTGTTTTGAAGTACCCAAGCACTAAATAAATGTAGAATCTTTATTTTAAAATACTGAAATCAAACATTCCCTTGCCTTCCTACTGAGTCCCTTCCACGCCTGGAGTCTCCCAGAAGGCCAGAAGCTGCTGTGTATACACACCTGTGTATACAAACAGGGCTTCTCTGATGGCTCAGCTGGTAAAGAACCTGCGTGCAATGCAGGAGACCCAGATTCAACCCTGGCTTGGGAAGATCCCCTGGAGAAGGGAATGGCTATCCACGCCAGTGTTATTGCCTGGAGAATTCCATGGACAGAGGAGCCTAGAGGGCTATAGTCCATGGGGTCACAAAGAGTCAGGCATAACTGAGCTACGAACACTTTCGCTTTCACATATATCATATTACACACTTGTGGGATTTTTTAAATAAATGAGATCATTTCATATATATTTTTCAGCAGCTAGCTCTGTTCACTTGACAATGTTTAGTCATTCCAGAAACATCCATTCATGTGTACATTCAGTATATACATCATTCATGCATCATCCTTCATCATCCTTTCCCCTCCTCTCCCTCCTCCCATTCTTCCCTCCCTTTCAGAGGTAATAACTGCCTGTGCTACAGCGCTCAACAGATACAGTACAAAGTCTTTCTTCCTTTTCTCACCAACCATCCAGTCCATCTGTCCTCTGTACTTTTTTTTTCACTTAACAGTTAACTCTGGAGACTTTTCCAATTAGCGCATAAAGGATTTCCTCAATCTCTTAAATGGCTACAACTATCTTACGTATGGTGAAATATGATGTATTTAACCAGTCCTAACAATGGATGTTTAATTGATTCTATCATATGGACTGTCGGAATAACTTTGTACTTGCACCACTGCATCAATATATAGAGAGTTCTTGATCATTTTTCAGAGCTGTATAGTATTCCACTATGTGGCTGTATCATGATGGTATGACCGACTTCCAACTGCTCGATGTTTGGGAGAATTTCCTACTTTTTGCTGTTAGACACAAGACACTGATGAGCAGCCTTTCACGTACTTCATTTTTTTGGTGAACATTTTATTTGGAAGATAAATTCTCAGAAGTGGGTCAGTGAGTCAAGGGTATATGCGTTTGTTCATTTAATACACGCTGCCAAGTCACCCTTCATAAAGGCTGTGCCAGTGTAGCCTCCCACCAGCAGAGGAAGAGAGGAGTCATCAAGTAGCCTGACTTCAGTGCCTTTCTCCCCTTCTTTATAGATGCAAGCCAGCCCTCTGGCTGTTCCAGCAAATGCCCCCTCCAGGAAGAAGCGGTTGGAGCTGGATGATGACCTAGACACTGAGTGTCCCAGCCAGAAACAAGCTCGAAGTGGGCCCCAGCCCAGGCTACCCTCCTGCCCACTGACGCTGAACCCACCGCCTGCTCCTGTTCACACTCCTGATGTGACCACTGCCTCCAGGCTTGGACCCTATGTTCTCCTGGAACCCGAGGAGGGGAGCCATACCTATCGCGCTCTGCACTGTCCCACAGGCACAGAGTACATCTGCAAGGTACATGTCCCAGAGGCCATCTCCATGAGCATCACTGGGGCTGGGAAAGGCTTTGGCTCCAAAGAATTGCCAGGGCTGAGGGGCCCTTATGTTAATTTAGTTCTGTGTTTACTGGGGAAGAAGCCAGTGAATACCTAGGCCGAGCTGAAACCAGAAAGGTAAACCAGATGGTCCCAGCCCTGGGGGAATACAGAGCTTAGGCTGTATAGTGTGATAAATAGTGTATATATATATATATATGTATGTATATATATATGTGTGTATATACATATACATATAGTGTATATGTACATAGTGTATAGTGTGATTGCTGGGGTGAGGCTTAGGGGCCAGAAGTGCACAGAGAAACCTCTATTATATTAAAAGGCAGAGTCAGAAAAGGCTGAGGAGGAGTCAGCCAGGGAGAAGTGGGAGGAGGGGGTTCCAGGAAGGAGAAACAGCTGTCAGAGGCCAAGAGGAGTGAACATGGTACTTCAGAGAATGAAAAGGACTTCATTATGACCAGAGTGGGAAAGGGATGCAGACAGGGCTGGCAGATGAGAGCTAGCAGCCGTGGATTGTGAAAGCATTAGGAAGAAGCCCCGCTAGGCTTCTGAAGCTAGGGGAGCCACTGAAGGTATTTGTACCAGGGAAGGATGAGATATGGTAGACATTAGAACTCCTGGGACCATGGAGGTCATTGGGCCTACTTGTGACCATTTTATAGATGGAAAAACTGAGGTCATGAGAGAAGGGCCATGCATGAAGCCACATGGCATCAGACCTGGATTCTAGGGCAAGGTCCAGGGTTCCTGACAGAAATCAGAGTTCTTGACAGAATTCAGGCGATAGGCAGAGACACGTGATCCCTACAGGACACTGCCAGGTCTCAGCCCACAAGGACAGAGATGAGAAAGCATTTGTTGTTGTTGTTTAGTTGCTAAGTCATGTCCAATTCTTTTGCAACCCCATGGGCTGTAGCCTGCCAGTCTCCTCTGTCCAGGGGATTTCCCAGGAAAGAATACTGGAGTGGGTTGCCATTTCCTTCTCCAGGGTATCTTCCCAACTCAGGGGTCAAACCTGCATCTCCTGCACTGGCAGGCAGATTCTTTACCACTGAGCCACCAGGGAAGGCTCTGAGAAAGCATAATCGTAGGTATCTACTGTGGACAAAGTACTATATTGATCATGCCGTCTGCATCCTTTCTATTTTTTTTTTTTTTGCATCCTTTCTAATATTCACACAATCTATGAGGTAGTTACTATAATTGGGCCCATTCTATAGAGAGAGGACAGGTTCTGAGGCTCAGAAAGCTGTGGTTACTCGAAAGTGAACGTGTTAGTCACTCAGTTGTGTCTGACTTTTTGCGACCTCTTAGACTATAACTCACCAGGCTCCTCTGTCCATGGAATTCTCCAGGCAAGAATACTGGAGCTGGTAGCCATTCCCTCCCACAGGGGATCTTCCCAACCCAGGGATCAAACCCAGGTCTCCTGCATTGCAGGCAGGTTCTTTACTGACTGAGCCACCCAGGAAGCCCTGGGGTTACTTGCCACCTCACAAAGCCAGGAGGTGTCAGAGCTGAAATTGGGCCAAGGCAGGTTGAACCCAGAGCCTTGGACCCCATGCTAGGACAGGTGGTTCAGACACAAGCAGGGCAGGTTTGCTCTGGTGGGCAGAGGTAAGGAGGATAGGGGAGACCCAGGTACACAGGGAAGGGTAGAAGGGGGCTGGGTCCCCTTGGGAAGGCACAGAGAGCCAGGGGGACTGAAGCCTCCATCCAGCTGGCCGGGGGATGAGGGGGAAGTAGCAGCAGTGGCTCCAGTTCCTGCTCATGGGGGTGCAGTGGGCAGGGCCACATCTGGACATCAGACACCAGCTTTACCTGGGCTCTGGCTGCTTGATGCAGGTTCCTAGGTCCACCCCAGGTGTTCTAGGGAACCCTTGAACTCTGGCTCCCCTTCCTGCAGCATCACAGGTTTTTTCTGGTCCCCCTATGGAGGGAAGTCCATACTGAAAGGAATGACCATGGCAAGCTGGAGTCAGAAGCCCTGTGCTTTCACATGACCCCAGATATTCAGGAACATTTAGGGCAATCTACTGGGAGTGCCTGTCCCTACATCCAGCGTGTAGGGACTGTGGGACTGACTTACTGTTTCCACATTGCCTAGGCTTTTCTGGTCGGCATGTAGAAAGATCAACATCCCATCTTTCTAGACTATCGCCTTATTCATTAATTCAACAAACTCTCAGTGAGCACTTGTATACTCCATGCATCATGCAGTATGCACCACGCTATAGCTAAAAAGTGGACCAAGCTGTGTCCGCACAGTTCATGCTGCAGGTGAATGAGTAACATATATATCAGGTGATCTTAACTGCTCTGGAGAAAAACTAGGAGCTGGGAGAGAGGGGAGTGGGGAGGGGAGAAGGTACAGGTGATCTTAGGTGGGAAGTCCACCTCGGAGGAGGTGACCTGAATAGTGTCTTGAACTGAGGGAGCCAGCCCTGTGGGTATCTAGAAGAGAATGCTCAGGCTGCAGGAAAAGCAAGTGTAAATGCTCAGAGGCAGGGATGCACTTGCCCTGACTTTTAAAAAAAGTCTCCGTTTGTGGATTATTTCCTCCAAGCAACCCCAATTGCTTTAAGACATGTACTTACATCTTTTCATGGATTAAATGTGTATATGCTTTATTTATTTTTATTGGCTATATGTCCTAGACAAATGAAAAGCAAAGGGTTTGTTTTTTTATTTTTATTTTTTACAAGCAAAGGGTTTAAAGGCAGATAAACCAAAGTGCATAGACTGCTCTGCCAGTGATGAACCATGTGGCTTCCAAGTCACCATCCTCTGATCCTTTCAGGACTATGGAATGGCTTCCATCTAATGTCCATAAACCCCTAGCATCTTTGCCTACAACCTCACCACACTCACCATAGGCCCCACCTTCCCTCCCATTCCAGCCATACTGAGCTTTGGCTGGGTTTCTAGAGCAGCGCAGTTTCTTTCCTACCTCAGGGCCTTTGCACTGCCTGTGCCTCCCACCTGCAAAGCTTACTCCTTGGGCATCTCAATCATTCAGGTCACTTCCTCAGAGTCCCTTCTGGACTATACTTTCTAAAATAGGTGTCTCCTGCCAAAATATTTTTTATTCCAGCATTCCTTTGCAATGGTCATCAGAATTTGTAAGTATTTAGTTTTTTAAATATTATTTAGTTTTTTAAGTAAGTATTCAGTAAAACTGTCTCATGTATTGGACTGTGAGCACCAGGAGGGCAGGGACCATGGCGGTTGGTTAAGTTATAGTCCCAGTTGCTGGCACAGGTGGGCATTCAATGCCTGCTGGTGGAATGAAAGAAAGGGTGGGTGGGCAGTGAATGCTAGAGAATGGTAGCCATGATGGGTGATGACGACCGTAGGTTACTTCTGTATTGTCTACTCTTCCGGATTCCTCTTGATTTAGTTACTTTTGTTCTGGTTACCTGATATTTTTGAAGTATCTCAAGTTTAAGAGCACATGAGCTGGTAGCTAAGAGCACAGATGATGGAGAACAGGGATTGAAATCTCAGCTGTGCGCCTTGCTGCTTGCCAGCCCTCAGCTTGGTCAGTATTGAGTGACATGCAGTGGAAGCGCTGGGCACAGGGCCCAGCCCACAGCAGTGCCTAAAGGATTGGCTGTGACCTGCTGCATGGCCGGCCCCTGCCGCCTGCCCCTGCCACCTGCCCCCTGGAGTCCCCACCCATGGTCACACCACGCTCTGCCCACAGGTGTACCCGGCCTGCAAGAGCCTGGCGGTGCTGGAGCCCTACTGGAGGCTGCCCCATCACGGCCACGTGGCCCGGCCAGTGGAGGTCCTGGCCGGCACGCAGCACCTCTACGCCTTCTTCCCGCGGCCACATGGGGACATGCACAGCCTGGTGCGCTGCCGGCGTCGCCTCCCGGAGCCCGAGGCCGCCACGCTCTTCCGCCAGATGGCCGCCGCCCTGGCGCACTGCCACCAGCATGGGCTGGTCCTCCGCGACCTCAAGCTACGGCGCTTCGTCTTCACCGACCCGGAGAGGTGAGTGTGGCCGCCGAGGAGGCCCCTCCGTGTGGCCTTGACTGATGCTCTGGTCACGCTTAGATTGAGGTGATGCATTTTTTGGCAAGAATACCACAGAAGCCCTGGGGCCTTCTCAGCCGGTTCTATCAGGAGATTCAGGCTGCTGAGGGGAACTACTGTGATGTTAACCTCGGTCTTTGGTTACAGGGGCTTCTGCCAAGTTGTCCACTGGAAGGCTCCTAATTTACCCTTTGTGTACCTTGGGTAATTCTTTGTCATTAATTTGTCATTAAAAACCTTGAGGGTTTTTAAGGCTTTATGTGTGAATATCCTGTTTCTGCTCAAACTTTTGCCCACTAATTTCACCTGCCATCCATTCTATAGCAGTTACTCTTATGATATTTGCCTAAGGGTGGTTTTCTTTTCTTTTTAAAAAATTTTTTATTTATCTGGCTGCACCGAGTCTTAGTTGCAACATGGGCGATCTAGTTCCTTGATCAGGGATTGAACTCTGGGCCCCCTGCATTGGGAGCAAGGAGTCTTAGCCACTAGACCACCAGGGAAGTCCCTGAAGGTGGTTTTTCCTTTTAAAGCTGGTATTTCCTTTTACCTTTTATACTACAATGACCATGCTTTAAGTAAGAAGTAGAATGTAAATTTTATAATGATTTTTAAGCTTTTCAAATAATTTCAAGCTTAGGGTGAGTACAACACCCCCAGACCTCCCGGAAGTGAGAAAAGTGCTTTCTTCCCTTTTCAAGGCAATAGTTTGAGAAGCACCATCAGTAAATGACAGATAATGGAATCATCCTGGGGTCAAATTCTGACTCTACTTCTTTAACCTGTAGTTTGGCCTTGAGCAATGGCTTCATCTGCCTGGACCTTGACTTCGTTATCTATAAAATGGGCCAATAGTGCTAACGTCTCCACCCACCCCCAGTGCAGTGATTGACAGGACTGGTCAGCATTTTCAGACCAGCACCCAGGAAGTAGTGCCACAGGAATAAGATTAGTAGCAATAGCAACGCTATGCTTACTATTAAAGTAATCTAGAGCACTCTGTGGGAGTTAGCTAAAGCAGAAGTTGCTCAGGTTGGTCCACACACTTTTTTTTTCTTTGCACCACATACCTGTTCATTTGTGAGGTTTTTTGTTTTGCTTTGTTTTTTGCTTGTTTCCTTTTTTTCTTTCTTTCTTTATTTTTAGTTGAGGGATAATTACAATAGGGTGTTGGTTTCTGCCATACACCAATATGGGTCACGTTCATTTGTGTTTTTAATTGAAATTGGTTGCTAACTTTTTAAAACCTGTTTTTTTTTCTTTAAAATATGATTTCTGAAAAAAATAAATAAAATAAAATATGATTTATGGGTTATTTTGTGGAAAAGGAGTACCATGGAGGCACCCTGGGAACCATATGAGCAGCTTATAGCACTGGCCCTGGGCAGGAGAGAACCAAGGTTCCGTCTCAGTCCTGCTCCCCTGGCTGCAAAATGGCATCTTCCTTACAGGCTGTATGAGGGTGAAATGAGGTGTGATAGATAGCTCAGGGCGAGGTACGCAGTGGACACTCCCAAATATTAACTGTAGGTTTGTGCTGAGACAGTTGGCACAGTCCCCACTTCCTGTTTCTCATTTTGCTTTCTGCCTAGACCCCAAGTTTGCATCTGGCTTCAGAGAGTTTTAATGCCCTCAGCCCCTCAGCACAGCCCCACTTCCCCAGCCCCCAAGTCAAGGTTCAGGCAGGTGAAGCCATCGCTCAAGGCCAAATTGCAAGTTAACAAGTAGAACCTGAATTTGACCCCAGAGACATTTGGAAAAATGTGTTCCTCTCAGAGTCCTAGTTCAGATTTAATTGCTGTGTGACCTTGAGAAATGAATAAACCTCTCTGAGCCTAGACTTCCTCATCTGTAAAATGGGATCAGCTAAGCAGCCTCACAGGACTGACTCATGTCTGGCAAATGTCAGCTGGTACTGGGGAAATGGGGGCCATGCAGGGTGACAGTGTGGGGTGGTAGAAGAGGGGGTCCCACTAGCTGACTCCCTGTCTCTCTGCCTGTGTAGGACAAAACTGGTGCTGGAGAACCTGGAAGATGCCTGTGTGCTGACTGGGCCTGACGACTCCCTGTGGGACAAGCACGCATGCCCAGCCTACGTGGGCCCCGAGATCCTCAGTTCCCGGGCATCCTACTCAGGCAAGGCGGCAGATGTCTGGAGCCTGGGTGTGGCACTCTTTACCATGCTGGCCGGCCACTACCCCTTCCAGGACTCAGAGCCTGCCCTGCTCTTTGGCAAGATCCGCCGTGGCGCCTTTGCCCTGCCTGAGGGCCTCTCGGCCCCCGCCCGCTGCCTGGTCCGCTGTCTCCTCCGAAGGGAGCCAACTGAGCGGCTCACGGCCTCGGGTATCCTGCTGCACCCTTGGCTGCGGGAGAACGCCGTCCCTGCAGCCCCACCTCGGTCCCGCCACAGTGAGGCTGACCAGGTGGTCCCCGAAGGGCCGGGGCTGGAGGAAACAGAGGAGGAGGGAGAAAGAGATGTGGGTCTCTATGGCTGATGTCACCTGACTGGACTCTCAGCTGCAGACAGCGGGTTGAGTCTGGGGTATCTCTAAGCTCTCTTCTGCCTCTTTGAGCTGAGCCAAACCTTAAGTGCCTTCTGGGAAGAAGAGAGGAGGAGGTGTGTGCAGAGCATGCTGGACACACACTCCTGTGCAGACGAGCTCGTGCCCCACCGAGTCCTTCTCAGGAGCTCCCTCTGCCAAGCCCTGTTCCGGATGCTGGGAACACAGCAGTGAACGACAGAGACAAAGTCCTGCTCGGAGCAGACAATACTTCCCATGCCCATGAGTCAGTGTCTACACTGAGCACCCACAGTGCAGGGGCTGGCATCCACTCGTGCTGATGCCCAGGCACCTCTGACGTGGGACGGTCCCTGTCACAAACAACCCAGCTGCCTTTGTATCTCATGCCTTTTCAGGGGAATGGAAGCTCCCCTGTGCCAAAGGCTCCAGGCCTCTCCCCTGTGATTCAGGACCCTAGAGCTCAGACCAGGCTGGGAATTGTGCTCCCAGCAGCTCTGTCCTCTTGGCCAAGGGCTTCTCCATCCAGGCTTGAGCCAAGGATTTGGGCTGGAAGATCAGGAGTGCAAACCGTGAGGCTGGTCCTCATCTTACTGAAAGAGTAGTTTGGAGTGAGGGTCCAGGCCTGTCCACCTCCATGGACCAAGCACCAAGATCAGGCAAGTTCTGTCCCCTGGCCTCCTGGAAAGTCTCAGGTCCAGGGCCCTACATTAACAATATGGGTTTAGATGCCATGAGTGTGTATTTTTTATCTTGCGGCTCATAAAGGAATTATGAAATGCTGTCATCTCTCTTGGATATTTCGTCCATCTTCTCCTCCCCATCTCTTCTGAGTTTTCCATACCTCTGAAACCAGCCTCAGGGTGAAAGGTCAGAGGCCTTGTGTCTCAATCTCTGAGTGGTTCGTGAGAATAGGCGACCCAGTGGGTCTTCTCTCATTTACTCTGTTCTTTCTGGATGTTCTGATATCTCAGGGTACTGTTTGACTGCAAGTCACTGAAATCTTGAGTCAAAGTGGAAAGAAAGAAGGAGACGAACCAGGAAGTCAACAGGCAGAGAGGGGATAGGCTTCAGGGCTCATTTATTCATCTGGCTCAGTCGGTAAAGAATCTGCCTGCAATACAGGAGAACTGGGTTTGATCCCTGGGTCAGGAAGATCCCCTGGAGAAGGAAATGGCAACCTACTCCAGTACTCTTGCCTGGAAAATCCCATGGAAAGAGGAGCCTGGTGGGCTGTAGTCCATGGGGTATCACAAGAGTCGGACACGACTTGATGACTAAACCACCACGGAGCTGTTAGGAAGGACCCTGGCTCCCTACGTTTATTTTGTCTTGGCTCTGTTGTCCCAGGTAACTGCTGGCACAGTGGCTACAACCATCTGTGGTGTCAACTAAGACAGACCCATGACCAGAGGAAGGAGGAGGGTGGCACCTGAAAACTCATTACTCTGGAGTCAGGCTGCCTGGAATTAAATCCTGGCTCCAACACTCACTAGCTGTTCGACCCTTGGCAAGTTTCTTAACCACTCTATACCACAGAGACTTCATCTGTAAAATGAGAGATAACAGTACCTAACCCAAGAAAGTTGAATGGGTTATTTTATTTAAAGCACTTAGAATTAACAGTGCCTGGCATAACAAGTCCTCAGTCAGAGTTAGGTGTTTCTCTCTATAACTTTTCCACGGGATGAGGAAAGCTTTCCTAGGAGCACTCTGAACAGATTTGCCCACATTCCTCATTGGCCAGACCTGGGCCATGTGCCTTCTCCTGACCAATCACCAGCAAGGGAAATGCAGTTATGTTAATTATCATGTCAATTTTCCAGCAGTTTCCCTGAGGCTCATGCTACATATAGGGAGTGGGGATGGTGGGGGAAAGATACCTGCACAAAATCAAATTCTGAGAGTGAGGAGGAGTGGGGAAAAGTGCAGAGGAAGAGAACTGAGAAAGCTCCCTCAATAGCTTGCTAACTGCAGACAGGTGAGGGAGGCTATCATAGACAGCCCAGCAATCAGTTGACCCTCCAGCTGACTGAAAATGCAGAGTTCAGTTAGGTTGACCCAGACCAGAAAATTTCCCCAACTGACCCACAGGATCATGGGCTAAATAAAATGATGATTGTTTTAAGCCATTGAGTTTTAGTGTTTTGTTACACAGCAAACGCTAACTGATACAGACAGGGACAAGTCAGCCTCCTCTCTGTGCACCCAGCATCACCCAGATCAGGGCCCGGCTGTATCTAGGGTCTCATGGAGCTGCCTCCAACCTTTACCCTTCCATTCAGCCTCCAAAAGACCCTGCCCCAGCTCCATCACAAGCTGTGCCCAAGTAGCAAGGGCAAGAGGGGACAGTTCATATAAAAAGGGAGCTTCCAAATGGCAGGTCTTTATCTATATTACACAGAGACTCATCACCATCTCACAACAACCCTATGAAGCAAATGCTTTTAGTCATTTCACTGACAAGAAAAATGAGCTTCAGAGACAGCAGAAGATTCATCCAAAACCACACAACAGAGAAAAACTCACCTGGTTTTTGCCTTGAAGCAGGAGCTTTTGTCAAGTCCACTCTGAGGCAGCTGTATGAGAACTATCACATAAAAATGTAAATCCTCTCTCACCAAGCAATGCACATAGCCACACCCCTGGCTGCAACTAGTAGGGACTTTCATGTTCTGTTTGTATTCTTTGGATGATCACTGTGTAAGAGATTTATAATATCAGAGGTAATGCATGTGTGTTACGGGGAGGGAGGAACTGTTAGACATTTAATTGGGGATTTTCTCTGCAACTGGGAGCTAAACACAAAAGATCATACCGTGACCTGCCCAGTTATTCATTCAACTAGCAATTAAACTACTATTCCTAATGCCAATTGTAGGGTAGGCCCCTACCCTACAATGGATGCAACATGGTCCTGCCCTCATGGACTTCAGTCCAACAGAGGAGACAGATATTAAAGAGGTAACCACACAAATGAAGAAGTTAATTATATCTGTGGTATGTTCTTTGTGGCAAAGACAGGCATCACCACTGTGTCCCATGCTCCCCTACATGCCCTGTCCTCCCTTTCAGTCAACGGGACAAGTTCTAACCACTAATGTGTGTGTAGAAGTGACATAAGTGTGGTCACTTCTAGGCTGAATCGATTGAGAGCTGGTAGGCCTCCATACCAGTCTTTCCCTTCCACCTTGAGGCCTCGTGTTCCCTTAGCTATAAGAAAGAGGAGATCCAACCAGTCCATCCTAAAGGAAATCAGTCCTGAATATTCATTGAAAGGACTGATGCTGAAGCTGAAACTCCAATGCTTTGGCCACCTGATGCGAAGAACTGACTCATTGGAAAAGACCCTGATGCTGGGAAATATTGAAGGCAGGAGGAGAAGGGGAGGACAGCAGATAAGATAGTTGGATGGCATCAGTGACTCAATGGACATGAATTTGAGTAAACTCCAGGAGTTGGCATGGACAGAGAGGCTTGGTGTGCTGTAGTCCATGTGGTCGCAGAGAGTCGGACACGACTGAGTGACTGAACTGAACTGAACTGAACCGAGAGGAGAACCACTGGATTCACACTAGATTTTACTGAGCAAGAAACAAAGCTTCCTGTGTTAAGTCTACAATTTGGAGTTTGTCTGTTGGGCAGTTAGTGTTAGTTACCAAGAATAAGAAAAACTTGCTACAAGAGAAGGAAGGAGAATTCTCTTCCCCAGTAACTAGGCTGTATCAGTCTTTGCTGCTTTACAATTCCCCAAACGTCATGGTTCGTGATTGTCTGGGTCAACAGACAATCAGTGTGATGCTGGTCATTCCTGCAATTGCAGAGAGCGGACAGCTCCATAGGGCAGCTCAGCCTCACTCACTTGGCTCCAGGGAGGCTTGGCTGGGGAGGGTCATTCCTGCTCCATGTGCTCTTGGTGCTGGCTCCTTCACTGGTGGTCCAGTGGTTAAGCATCTGCCTGCCAATGCAGGGGGCACAGGTTCAATCCCTGGTCTGGGAAGGTCCCACATGCCCAGGGGCAACTAAGCCCCTGTGCCACAACTACTAAGCCTGCTCTCTAGAGCCCTCGAGCTGCAACTACTGAAGCCTGTGTGCCTAGAGCCCATGCTCTGCGACGGGAGAAGCCACTGTAATGAGAAGCCCCTGCACCACAAAGAATAGCTTCCTTCCTGCAAAAAAGTAGCCCCCGCTCGTCACAGAGAAAGCCCACGTGTAGCAATAAAGACCCAGCACAGCCAAAGATAAATAAATATATAAATAATAATAATAATAGCAATCTCCCTAGGTGATGCTGTTGAGCATCCCAGTTGGAGAACCCCTGTGTTTGGAGAAAGCCTGCTTCCTCGGGGACTCAGAGAACTCATGTTAGCTCCTCTCTGTCTGTTTGTAAAATGGGTGTAACTTGGGCATAAATTCTACCTGCCTGTGATGCTAGGATGGACTCACAGATGTGGGGAGCTTTACTGGGTCAAAATCTGAACCGCCACCTCAGTTGTACCAGCTTTCTGGGGAAAGAAGTGTAGCGCTATTCCGTCCTCGCGCCCTCTCCCCTCACCCTATTTTGTGGGTCTTCACAGCACTTAGCACCACCTGGCAGGACATTCTCATCTGTTTGTCTGTGTGGGTTTCATAAGTCTAAGTATCTGCTTTGTTTATAATTGTCTCCCTGACTCCAATAACAGCGTCTGGCACATAGAGCCGCTCAATAAATGTTTGTGAGTAAATGTGGTTGCCGTGCAGGTCCTACATGCCCAGAGCAGAGCCAAGACACATATTAGGCATGGTCAATGTTTACTGAGCACATACGACATGTCAAGCATGGTTCTAAGTGCTTTACGCGCATTATCTCATCTGATATGTGATAGACAGATGGCCCTCAGTGATTCGTAGCACCTGGTATCCATGGGTTTGTATAATTCCATCCTACCTTGAGCTGGGCTGACAGTAAATAATAGGAAACTGAAAATAAAGAGTATGACTTTAAGGATAGACCATAAAATATATTATGGCTTCTATCTTGCTCTTCTGGATCATCTATTCTAGGAAAAGCCAAATGCCATGTTGCTAGGACACTCAAGTAACCTATGGAGAGATACATGTGACAAGGAACTTATACATTCTGAAATAACCAGCACCGACCAAGTCTGTGAGTGGGCTTTAATCTTCCAGCCTCAGTCAGGCTTTCAGATAACTGAAGCCCCAGCCAACATCTTAACTATAACTCTTGAGAGACCTTGCACTAAAACCACCTAAGAAGCTGTTCCTGAAATCCTAACTCATAGGAATGCTATGAGATCTTCATGTTTATTATTGACTAACCCAGTGGCTCAGATGGTAAAGAATCTGCCTGCTAAGTCAGGAGACCAGAGTTTGATCCTTGGTTCAGTAAGATTTCCTTGGAGAAGGGCATGGCAACCCACTCCAGGTTTCTTGCCTGGAGAATTCATGGACAGAGGAAACTGGTGGGCTACAGTTCATGGGGTCACAAAGAGTTGGACACGACTGAGCGACTAACGCACACATAAAACTGAACCCGGGCTTGCATGATACACAGAGTCTACCCACTGAGGTGAAGGATGTCCAAAATGAATCCCAACGCTTCCCTTGAAGGAACAAGGATAAGACCAGAACACTGAAAAAAAATGTATCTGCCTCCTGTACAAATTTGTGCTGGCTGAGAGGAACATGAACCTAAGAAACCCGCAGTCTCAGAAGAAGAAAACAAGCCAACAGGAGTGAAAACCAGCAGAAACAGACACTCAGAGTTCAGACAGCAATACTACCAGAGACATACTATAACAGAAATATTTAGTGCACTTAAATCTATAACAAGCTTGAAACTATTTCTAAAGCATAAGAAGTTATATCAAGTAATGTAATGAATTTGAAAACCTAAATGGATTTGAACTTCTAAAATGAAAAATACAATAACCAAAATAAAACATTCAACAGATGGGTTAAACCACAGATTAGATGTGGCTACGAGGGAACTAGTGAGATAGAAAGCAGACATCAATCACAGATTTAAGAGACTCCATATGTTTTTACACACAGACACATCATAGTGAAAATGCCCAACACCAAAGACAGAGATCTTAAAAGCAGTCAGAGGGAAAAGGAAAAAAACAGAGATTACTTTCAAAAGAACAGCAGTACAACATGGATGAACCTCAAGAACATTATGCTAAATGGAAGATATCAATCACAAAGAACTATATATTGTAAGATTAAATTTATATCAAGTGTCCAAAATAGGAAAAGTTATAGAAACCAAAAGTAAACTAGTGCTGGGGGGTAAGAGAGTAGGAGATAGAGAGTGTCTGCTAATGGATACAGGGCTTCTTTGCAGGGGTAAAAATGTTAAAAAATGAGATTGTGGAGATAGTTGCACAACTCTGTACTAAAAACCATTAAACTGTACACTTTAAATGGGTGGATCTTATAGTGTATAATTTATTTCTCGGTAAAGCTACTTAAAGAAAGAACAGCAGTTAGACTGACAGGTGATGATGTCTCAACACCAACCATGGAAGTTGGAAGACAACAGAATGCTATTTTCAAGGTGCCCAGCTAGAATTCTATATCCAGCAAAAATGTCTATCAAGAGTGAGGTGTTGAGCTTCCCTGGTGGTTCAGTGGTAAAGAATCAACCTGCCAATGCAGGAGACATTGTTTCAATCCCTGATCTGGGAAGATCTCACATGGGGAGGAGCAACTAAGCCCGTAGGTCACAACTATTAAGTCTGTGCTCTAGAGCATGGGAACCACAACTACTGAGTCTTTACACTGCAACTACTGAAGCCCACACACCCTAGAGTCTGCTCCATAACAAGAGAAGCCACTGCAGTGAGAAGCCCGCACACCTCAACTAAACAGTTACCCCCACTCACCGCAAATAGAGAAAAGCCCGCATGGCAATGAAAACCGGGCACAGCCGATGAATAAATAAATAAAATTATTTTTAAAAGAGTGAGGTCTAAATAAAGATTTTTCAAACAAAAACCAAGAAAGTTTGTCACCAGAAGCCTAACCCCACAGGGAATTCTAAAACAGCAGTTCTCAAACTTGGCTTTTCATTAGGCTCACCAGAGAACATTAAAAGCTCCTGATGTCTGGGCCCACCCCCAGACATTCTGAATCAATTGATCTGAGATATTAATCTGGGCATAAGATTTTTAAAAGTTCCACAAGAGATTCAAACGTACAGCTCAGGCTGAGAACCTCTGTTTTGGGGGATCTATTTCAGGCAAAAAGAAAGTGATCTCAAAAGAAAGTCTGAGATTCCTTCATTCATTTAACATAATCTGTGGGCACCTATCAGGTGTTGGGGAACTGTGACTAGACACCAGGAACACAGCAATGAGCAAACAGAAAAAGGTCCCCACCGTCTAAAAGAGGGGAACAGACAAAAACAAAAACAAGATAAACAAGTAAAATATGCTGTTAGATAGTAATAAATGCTTTGGGAAAAAATGAAGCCAGGAAGGAAAACATAAAATGCTGGATGTATGCGCATGTGTGTGAAATTTCAGATAGAGTGGACAGGAAAAGACTTTTGGTAAACGATATAAAGACTTTTAGCTAAAGACATAAAAGGGCAAGAGCAAGCCATGAAGTTATTTGGGCTATGGGAAGTGCAAAGGCCCTGAGATGGAAGGGTATCTGCCTTGTTCCAGGATCTGAGGGCCAGCGGGTGGACTGAGCAAAGGGGAGAGTAGTCAGAGAAGGAGCCACAGCACTCTGCAGGCCCTGGGAGGACCTTCACTTTTACTTTGAGCAAGATGAAACCCATGGGGAGGGTTCTGAGGAGTGGCACGGGTTGATTCTAACAGGGCCTACCAGCATCTGGGTGAAAGTGGACCTTAGTGACCAAAAGGGGAAGCAAAGAGCGTAGTCAGGAGGCTGGAGGATGGTGCTGGAGGAAAAAGGATGGAGGTGGATTGGGATGGTGGGTGGAGGAGGTGAGAAGTGACAGATTCTGGATCTATTCTGCAAGCGGATCCCATAGGATCTGCCAATCTACGGGATGAGGGGCGGGAGAAAAGTTCAAGGGTGGGAAGACAGGAGGATGCGAAGAGCTTCCAGCCTGTGTCCGGCGAAAGCAAACTTCATTTAGTGGCCCAATTAAAAGGTGGAGAGTTAACCGCCGAGAGGCAGCGTCCGGCTGGCTAAGGGTGGGTTCCTTTTGCCCGACCTGCATTTAAATCCGGCTGCGTGGCCTCGGGCAGGTCAGAAACAGAGCCTCGGATTCTTCTGCCAAAGGAGTAGGGATCAGCATGCCCACCAGTGCTGGGGCTGTTGGACTGAGCAAGGGAGGTCTCCGCGCCGCGCCCCGCCCTCCCGGCCCAGTCCCCGCCCCTCCTGGCCCCGCCCCTCCCACGGCGCTGCTGGCTGGAACCAGCGGGTGAGTGAGGGTCACAGAATCCGGGTCTGGCCCGGGGCGGCGTGGGAACGCCCCGGACGGCGGGACAAGAGCGCCCTGGATTCCCGTGACCCGGAGCGGGGGCCGCCGCCGGGTGGTCAGGCGGGGGTGGCGGGGAGACCCGGATCCGGCGATAATCTTCCGCCCCACTTCCGGAGCCGCCACTTTCACTTTCTCTTCCGCTAAGGCTGCTGCGCTCCTTCTCCTGACTGACAGGGGCCGCCGCGGGCGAGAGGGAGTTGGGCTGAAATCCCGCACCCCTGAGGGCGCTCCTGCTCCCAGCAGGGAGAAGGGCTCCAGCCCAGAGCCCTGGCTGTGCGGCGCCCCTCCTCCCCTTCCCGGCAGCCAGGCCTGTCCAGTTTCCTCTGTCGCCCAGAGCCGGCTCGGCTTGGCGCTCCCTCTCACCTCCCACCCGTTCCCCCTCCCAGGCCCCATCCCCGGTCCTCGGGTAATGTGATGCTACCCGATTGCCACCCGGGACCCTGAGGCACGAAGAAGGCTCGGGCCGCGCCAGAGGCCGCCGGCTGGGGCTGAGTTTCTCGTGGTCTGCCCATCCTCTAGCAGGTGACCGGGAGATAGCATTTCCCCGGAGCTGCAGCCCACCCCCTCCGCGGGGGGATGGGCACAACCACGCCAGATGGACGAGAAGATCAAGAAAGGTGGGCACAGCCTGGGGGCAGCTGAGAAGCTTCGGGTGGGAGGTGGGCCTTGCCAGAACGCGGCCTCTCCTCCCAGAAGAGACTGGGAGAGGGGTATTAACCTGTCCTCCTTCTGCCCACTTGCCCCTCAGATTCCTCCCTTGCAGGCCGGTTGCTTCCAAGGGCATCTTGTCATTCTTTTATTTGATGCCCCTAAGGCCTCCCATAGGCCAGTTCTGCTGAGAAGAGGGTGGGGGGCTCCCAGAGGGCAAGAGACGACCCACGCTAGTGGGGGACCAGACCTCAATTGACCTGAATACCAGGGTCTTTGCCTTCCACCTCGTGCCTTCCACTCGGGTTGGAGAATTTAAGTTAGGTCATGTCACCAACCTGCTCACATACCCCTGTGTTTGTTCCTAGAACAGAAGCCTAGAGCAGTTGGGTAGCTCACATGCTTGCTGACTTTGCTCACTTCTGGTTTTGCTCATCTCTGCCTTCCCCCATCTGGCCCCTCGCTCATTCTGCTGGGGCTTCATCAGCTTCTCTGTTCTAATCTGACCATTTCTTGACCAAGGTCTTTCATTTTCTCTCCACTTGGAACACTTTTCCCCAACCAGGTCTTGACATTATCCAACATCTCCTGCTTCAGGTCTCAGCTTCAGTGTCACCTCCTCTTCTCTTTCCTGATCTCCTTATCCTGTTCATTTCCTTGCCAGCATGGATCACAGTCTGAATCTTTTTGTTTTGTTAAACTTGTTAGTTGTCTTCTTACTGGGCTGGGAAGTCCATGAGAAGAAGGCCCATGTTTATCTTATTCACTGCTGAAGCCCAGTTTCTGTGAGAGTGATTGGCACACAGTATGAGCTCAATCCTAAAGGAAATCGACCCTGAATATTCATTGGAAGGACTGATGCTGAAGCTCCAAATACTGTGGTCGCCTGATGCAAAGAACCAATTCATTGGAAAAGACCCTGATGCTAAGGAAAGATTGAGGGCAGAAGGAGAAGGGGGCAACAGAGGATGAGATTGTTGGATGGTATCAATGGATATGAGTTTGAGCAAATTCTGGGAGATAGGCAAGGACAGGGGAGCCTGGTGTGCAGCAGTCCTTGGGGGTCACAAAGAGCTGGATACAACCTAGTGACTGAACAGCAAGAGCTCAGTAAATGTTTGTTGGATAAACAAGTGCAAGTATGAGGGACCTGGGAGCATGAAGGGGAAACAGAACCAAATGAGCAGGGGTGGAGAGTGTCAGGCAAGGCCTCTCAGAGAAAAGGGACTTTTAAGCTGGGTGCTGAAGGATGTGTAGGAGTTTACCAAGAAGACAGAGAGGAAGCAGCATATATAAAGAATCACCTCCTTCCTCACCCTCCTTACCCACAAAGAAGAATAAACCCTGTGCTAACGTGCTTCCACTGTGGATTTCAGCTGAGGAGGTGGCCCAGAGACTCACACGAGCAGTGGCTGGTGGGGATGAACAGGTGGCTATGCAATGTGCCATCTGGCTGGCAGAGCAGCGGGTGCCCCTGAATGTGCAACTGAAGCCCGAGGTCTCTCCGACACAGGATATCAGGTGAGGAGTGCGTGGCTGACCAGGAAGCCCAGGGTTCAGAGCTTCCTGAACCCCGGTGGGCTGCAATATAGTGTTGGCCGGTAGAACAGTTAGCGCTTTCCTGGTGGCTCAGTTGGTAAAGAATCCGCCTGCAATGCGGGAGACCTGGGTTCGATCCCTGGGTTGGGAGGATCCCCTGGAGGAGGGCATGGCAACCCACTCCAGTATTCTTGCCTGGAGAATCCCCATGGACAGAGGAACCTGGTGGGCTACAGTTCATGGAGTCACAAAGAGTCAGACATGACTGAGCAACTGAGCACATAGAACAGTTAAGTTATTCTTAATGGCAGGTTCTGGTGTCAAGAGCCCTAGCTTCAAACCCCAGCTCTGTCACAAATCAACTCTGCGATCTAAGGCAGATGATTTCACCTCTCAGAGTTTTTTTTTTTTTTTAATTTAAAAAATAGAGCAGTAATAGTAGAGCTGTTAATAGGGTTGTTAGGAGGTGTATTAGAATGATAGGTCTCATAGAACAGAAAAAAACATATTAACAGTGACATAAACAAGTTTGATGGTAGGCACTCCAGATGTGGAAGCTCTGTTCTCTGTAGTTCTCAGAGCTCCTGCTTCTCTTGTCTTATTATTAGGCCATTCATGACCTCCTTTCTTAGGTTCACCTTATGATCCAAAATGGTTCTTCCCGTTCCAGCCATTACATCACCACTCTTGTCAGTAGGAAGGAAGAAGGGCACACCCTCCCACCCTCCTCTTAAGAACACAGCTCGCAAAGTTGCACACACTTCTTCCACTTAACTCCCATGGCCAGAAATTTTTCGCACAGCCACACTCAGCTTGAAGGAAGGCTGTCTGCCCCAGGAGACTTAAACTTGATGCTGAAATGCTCAGCACAGTGCCTGGCACATATTAAACACTCAAATGTTTTTTTCCTGCTGTGTAGTAAGACCCTTTTACAGTTTCTAATTTTCACTGTTGGATCCCATTTGATTTTTTATTGAGATATAATTGACAGACCCTGTTCAGCAATTTAAAGTGCATAGTTCGAGGCTTTTAGTATATTCACAATTGTGTAACCATCACCATAACCAATTACAGAACATTTTCATCATCCCATTAGGAAACCGCATACCCATTAATAGACACTCCCTATCTCGCGACTTTTCTTTCCTCAACCCCTCAACCTTAGGCAACAACTAATTTACTTTCTTATCTCCAGAAATTTGCCTACTCTGGGAATTTCATATGAATGAAATGGAATTATACACTATGTGGCCTTTTGTGTCTGGTCTTCTTTCACTTAGCATCATGTTTTCTAGATTCATCCATGTTGTAGCATGTATCAAAACTTCATTCCTTTTTATGACTGAATAATAATATATTGTATGGGTATACCGTATTTTCTTTATCAGTAGATGGACATTTGGGTTGTTTCCACTTTTTTGGCTAATGTGCACAATGCTGCTATGAACATTTGTGTCCAAGTTTTTATATGGACATATTTTTTTCCCCAGTTTTATTGAGATATCATTGACATACAAAACAGAGTTAGTTTAAGGTATTGTGACTTACAATAAGAAATGTATATTCTTCCTGTTCTTGGCACTGAGCTCCTAAAACCCTTGGAATTTCTTAAGTGATGAGAATGACAAAGGTGCATTTTGTTACGTTAGTGAGGTGACTCTTGGACTGCCCCTAAATTGCTTAAGGATGGAGGCTGGTCATAAGAGGAGCCAGCCCTGTGGTTAGAGAATTGGAATTTTCAGTCTCATCATCCTGATCTCCAGGGAGGGGAAGAGGGCTGAAGGTTGAATCATCAGTAGCCCATGGATTAATCAGTCGTGCCTATGTAATAAAGCCTCCATAAACACTCAAAAAGACAGGGTTTGGAATTTGGAGAGAATGATGCCCCTTCTCACATACCTTGCTCCATACATCTCTTCCATTTGGCTATTATACCCTTTTGTAATATAGTGAGTAAATATTTCTCTGAGTTCTGTGAGCTGTTCTAGCAAAATAATCAACCCATGGAGGAAGTCGTTGGAATCCCTAATCTATATCCAGTCAGTCAGAGAACCAATGACAACTTGGGGTTTCGATTGGTGTGTGAAGTGGTGGGAGCAGCCTTGTAGGAATGAGCCCACAACCTAGGAAAGCTGACACAGTCTCTGGGTAGAGAGGGCTAGAATCAAGTTGAATTGTAGGATGCCCTGCTAGTGTCTGAAAATTGCTTGGTGTTGTGTGGGAAGCCTTCCCTCTCTTTCCGTTTCCACATGTTGGAAATTGAACTTTAGAACCATTTTAGGTGTATGACATATGCTTTAATATATATATATATAGCACAATGATTACCACAGTAAGTTTAGTTAACATCCATTGCCTGACATAGTAACAAATTACTTTTTCTTGTGACAACTTTTAAGGTTTACTCTCTGAGCAGTTCTCAAATATACCATATTGTTAACTATAGTCACCGTGCTGTACGTCTCTGCTTTAGAACTTAACTTATCTTAAAACAGGAAGTTTGTAGCTTTTGACCACCTTCACCCCTGCAACACCCCAATCAATCTGTTCTGTTTCTCTGACATTGCTTTTAAAAATTCCATATATAAGTGGTATAATACAGAATTTGTCTTTCTCTCTCTGATTTATTTCACTTAGCACAATGTCCATGTTGTTGCAAATGGCAGAATTTCCTTCATTTTATGGCTGAATAATATTTCATTGTGTATATATATGGAAACAACTGAAGTAACCATGAATGAATAAAGAAACTGTGGTGTGTATGTATACAATGGACACCTATTTTCATTTCCCATTCTATGGATTGTCTTTTCACTGTATTGATAGTGTCCTTTGAAGCACACGTTTTCAATTTTGATGAAATACTGTTTATCTGTTTTGTTGTTTGTGCTTTTGATGTCATTTAAGATACCTTTGCCTCATCCATGGTCATAAAGGTATACCCTTAGTTTTGTTTTTAAAGAGTTTTATAGTTTTAGCTCTTACATTTACATCTTTGATCCCTGTTGAGTTAATTTTTGTTACACTGAGAGGCAGAGATCCAACTTCATTCTTTTGCTTGTGAATATCTAGTTGTCACAGCACTATTTGTTAAAAAGACTGTTTTGTCCCTGTTTAATATCTTGGCACCTTTGTTGAAAATTATTTGACCATAAGTCTGAAGTTTATTTCTGAAACCTAATTTCTAGTCTGTTGCTCTGTATGTCTGTCCTTATACCAGTAAGACAGTTTTTATTATTATAGCTTTGTAGTAAGTTTTTAAAACAGAAGCATAAGTACTCCAACGGTGTTCTTCTCTTTCAAGATTTTTTTTGGCTGTTCTGGGTCCCTTGAATCTCCATATGAATCTTAGGGTTAGCATGCTAATTTTTGCAAAAAAAAAGTGAGCTGGAATTTTGACAGGGATTGCATTGCATCTGTTGATCAGTTGGCCATTTGATTTCAAATAAAATACTTGTATATCCATTTCTTGATATATGCACTTAAGATGGTATCTGTGTACACTCCTGGTTATGAAAAATGAGGAATTTAACATGCTCATCTCACTGTTCCCTTTTCCTAACTTCCTGGGTTTTGTTAGTACTGTAGTAGAAGTTCTCCCAGTTGACCTCCACTTGATTCCCCCAATTAAATGGCACCGTAGCTGCCACTGTAAAACATACCTCTGCACACAGCTTGTTTATATCAGTTGTACTTGTTTCCATGGCATAATTTAATAGCTGTTGTATCAATCAATAAAACACGAGTGCTAAAAGAGAAATGCGACCAAAAACAAACAAAAAAAGGCTGTTCATTTTAGGGTGAGTGAATTGTAAAAAAAAAAAAAAAGAAAGTGGTAAAAATCCAAAAGGGCTCTCTGTACTCAGATGCTTTGAGAGTCTTAAGTTCTTGCTCCACTTTAAAGAAGCTTTAAAGAAAGAGATCAGAAACCATGTATAATGGGTATAGTTCATACAAAAAGAAAAAAAAAAATCATGGGAAACTCCAGTAGCAGATTTGTACTAAATAAAAAACAAAACCAGTGGCCTTTTTACCTAGCGATTGGCCATTGAATGTGCATTTGTATCCTGTAAGGTAAAATTAAGTGTTAAAGTCTGCAACTATGTCTGCATTTCTCTGCTGTAATGAATTTTCTGACTAACGGATCACTACTGATCTGGTGACAGCAGAAATGAGGGCTCCAATGGTGCTTCTCTAATATTGGTGTTAAGGTTATAGGTTTTATTTTATTTTTTAAATTGTATTTATTTATTGGGTCTTAGTTGTGACACATAGGATCTTTGGTCTTCATTGTGGCATGCAGAATTTTTTTTTAGTTGTGGCATGTGAACTCTTAGTTGTGGCATGTGGGATCCAGTTCCCTGACCAGGGATCAAACCTGGGCCCTCTGCACTGGGAGCTCGGAGCCTTAGCCACTGGACCACCAGGGAAGTCTTGGTTATAGTCTTTAGATTTTGTTTTCTAAGTAAAATTAAGGCTTATATGCTTTGCCTCTAGGTTGATACTAAAAATGTAAACCCAGTAAAATAGCATTTATAGTATTTTGATTATGGAAATATTACTCAGTGTAAAATAAGTAGTGCAATTGACACTGTATCTTTCATGTTTCAAAACCCCTGTTGCTTGAAGAAGAATGTCTTGAAGGTTAAGGTCTTTGAATTTCCTTTCCTTCTTTAAATTCCGTTTTAGTTTTCTATTCTGCATCAGACTCAGCTATTCTTGTTTCTTGTATTTCAAAAACTTTTCATGTGGAGAAGTGGATGGTAAACTTTTGTTGTCTTTATGTGTCTAAAACTTGCTCCTTTCATTGATGGTTGGCTAGATGTTGAAAATCTTTATCCTGAGAAATTTTGAAGGTATTTTCTGGAGTATTTTAAAGCAAGTCTCAGATGTTAGCTCATTCATAAGTCTTTAAAACTAATGACTTAAAAAATAACCTCAATACCATTATTACACCTAAAACATTAACAACTCCTTAAAATCCTCTTATACTCTATATGTATTAAACTTGCCTTGATTATCTCATTAGTATTTTTTATAGTTGGTTTGTTCTAATCAGGAGCCAAATGAGAATTGACACATAGCATTTCTTAATGTTGTCTAAGTCTTTTATTCACTTTCTCTATTTTTAGTGACATTAATTTTTTAGAAATCTGGCTTTTGATCTCCAGAATTCTCCCACATTCTGAGTTTACGAATTGTCTCCTTGGAGTGTCATGGTATCTCTCATTTTCCTTGTGAACCTGTAGATGGATCAGATGAGTCAGGAGTTACTGTTAGATTCCCAGCAGCTCTTCTTCATTTTCTGATTGTTTCCTGCCGTTCTTGCTTTAAGGATACAGCGTTTTCCCAAGTTGCTCTGGAGGTTCTAAGTGGGGTTTTTTCTGTGTCCTGAAATCAGTTCTGTTTTTTTGTCTCAGCCCTCCATTTTCGTGCCATTGGCCTTCCCAAAAAGTTTTCGCATCTTTGAGAAGGTTGGTGTTTAAAACCACTTTCTCTGAAATACTCCTGTTTGGATTTAAATCCTGCCTCTAACAGTTATTGTTTACTCAGCAGAGTCACTATAACCTCTCTGCGCCTCCTGTTTTTATCTGTAAAATAGGGGAGACAACAGTACATGTCTCATGGGTTCATTGAGAGAATTGAGTTAATACATGTTAAATGCTTTAAAGAGTCTTAGCATGCAGTTAATAATAGCTGCTGTGGTTTGGTTAAGGAGCCAATAATAGCCAGTAATACAGGAGACTGAAGGGGCCAGCACATTAGGGAGTTTGGATTTTATTCTGAGAGCCGTGTGGAGCCATTGCAGGGCCTAAGCAGCGAGTTCTGATCCAGGAGGAAGCACAGGGGAGTGGGAATCCAGGAGCTAGCTGGTGGCTGAGGTTGGACCTTCGTCCAGAGCCCTTGCCCTCCCCGCAGGCTGTGGGTGAGCGTGGAGGATGCACAGATGCACACAGTCACTATCTGGCTCACGGTGCGGCCTGACATGACGGTGGCCTCCCTCAAGGACATGGTGAGTGAGGGGGTGAAAGGGAGGGTGGAGGTTCCCCTTTTGCCCCCACCTGTCTCTCCTCTGCTCCTCCCTCCCTACGCTTCCTGTCCATCCTCCCTGACAGGTGTTCCTAGACTATGGCTTCCCACCAACCCTGCAGCAGTGGGTGTTTGGGCAGCGGTTGGCCCGGGACCAGGAGACTCTGCACTCCCACGGCGTGAGGCGGAATGGGGACAGCGCCTACCTCTACCTGCTGTCTGCCTGCAACACGTCGCTCAACCCTCAGGAGCTGCAGCGGGAGAGGCAGTTGCGGATGCTGGAAGGTAAGGCTCTGCTCCCTGGGAATGTGGACTCACCTGTGGGCGTGGGGCGGGAGGGAGCGAGGTGTAGAGCCCAGGGGCTTTCCATCAGGGACTTGACTGGAGGACCTTATCCATAGTGGGGAAGAGAGGACAAAGGACACCCCAGGAGGGAGCCATCTGGGGAACCCTTTAGAGAACAGCCAGTCTTGGGGAGAAGAGCTGAGTTCAGTCCCCTCCCTGGCATTTATCAACTCCTTGACCTAGGCAAGTTCCTTCCTATCTCTCCTCAGTTTTCTAAATCTGTAAATTGGATGTAATAGCTAGTTTTTAAATTTTTTACTTTTTATTCTGAAATATTTCAGATCTACAGAAAAGTTGCAAAATTGTACAAAGAATTGTATAAGGAATTCCCATGTACCGTTCATGTGGATTCCCCAGATACTATTTTGACTGTATTTGGTTTATCATTGTTTTCATGTAAAATTATTTACTTATGCATAAATAATTTTTGGAACTGTTTTGAGAGTAGGTTGCAGACACGATGTCCCTTTTCCCTAAATACTTCAGTTTGTATTTCCTTTATAAAAATAAAAAGGTCATTTTCTTACATTTATTGTACAGTTAGCAAATTTAGGAAATTAACTTTGATATAGTAACACTATCTAATGTGCAGATCTTGCTCACATTTTACCAGTTGTCTCACTCATGTCCTTTATAGTGAAAGACCTGGCTCTTGGCCTTGGTGTTTCTCAGTCTTTTTGTCTTTGATCTCTGATCTCCCCTTGACTCTCCAGGCCAGTTTTGTTTTTAGCTTTTCTGTCCTATGTGCCCTCAGGAATGGATTCAGGTTCAGTATTTTGGCGGGGCCACTACAGAAGTGGTGTTTGTCCCTTTCGGTGCGGACACTTGTGTGGACACTTAGGCACACAGGAGATCTGTTTTCAAGCAGGGTTCTTAAACCGGGTGGATCTAGGAGCAGTGGTGGGTGGAAGGAGGGGCTGTGACCCTGTGGGAGCCAGGACACTCAGCCATGGCTGGGTCCACCTGGCAAGAGGGAGCTGGAATGTCCTTGGAGCAGAGGGAGAGGATAGAAGGGGGGTTTCCTGGCTGGCTCAGGGTGTGGATGAAATTGGCTAAATGGATCTGCCACCCCTTGAACCCTTCTCCCCAGATCTGGGCTTCAAGGACCTCACGCTGCAGCCACGGGGCCCCCTGGACCCAGTTCCCCCAAAGCCTGGGGCCCCTCAAGAGCCAGAGCGGGGGCAGCCTGATGCAGTGCCAGAGCCCCCGCCGGTAAGCTGCCACACATGTGCCCCTATGCCCCACCCCCCCATTTAGTCTCCCTGCCCTCACTGCCCCTCTGCCCCCAGGTGGGCTGGACATGCCCTGGCTGCACCTTCATTAACAAGCCCACTAGGCCCGGCTGCGAGATGTGCTGCCGGGCGCGGCCCGAGGCCTACCAGGTACCTGCCTCATACCAGCCAGACGAGGAGGAGCGAGCGCGCCTGGCCGGTGAGGAGGAGGCGCTGCGCCAGTACCAGCAGGTGGGCGCCAAAGTCCCCAGAAAGACTCCTGCAGCCTGGAAGGGGGAGGCATAGGCCAGAAAGGGAGACACGTCCACATTGCTCCTGACCCCATTGCTGCCCCCATGTGATCACACTGATGGTGGTGACCCTACACTTGACTGTGACCGGCCTCTCCCTGAGGTCATTCATACTATCGCTGAGACCCTGCTTCCCGGCTGTGATGCACATCCAGGCTTATTTGTGCTCCCCCCTCCCCCATCCCCGTGAGCTGTGGCGCCACCCCTGGCTTTGACTTAACTTTCCCATTGTGCACTCAAGGGTACCTGGCTCTAACCCCAGCATCCTAGCCAAGACCCAGACCACGCCCCCGTTTCATCCTGCTGTGACCTAGGTATTGCTCCATTAGCTCTGAACTCATCCTGAATCCTACTATTCCTGACTCCCAGCCCCCCACCCCTTCCTTTCTGGCTGTGGCCCTCCTAGACTTCCTGAGAGCCTGGACCCAGCCCCTCTCTGCCCACTTGGAGGCTGACCCGCCCCCGTTCTGCCCCTCCCACTGTCGTGTTACACACGCATAGATACATAACCCTGAGCGGTTTCCCATTCTGATCCAACGTCCCCATCCGGCCCTTGGACCTATTGCTGGCCATGACCTCATTGTGGTCCCATTACAATCCTGGCCCAGACCCCGGCCTCTCTCCTGCCTGGCTCTGCTCCCTCACTTTATCACCGCCCCCCATCCCCCTGCCTTTCCCCCTGAAGCTACCCCTGCCCTGCTTCTTGGCAGAGATGGGAGCCCTGCTTCCCCTGACTCCCCACTCAGACCCCGGCCCCATCGCCCCCTGACTTGACCCTAGGTTGTAGCCTTAAGCCGTGCCTGCCTGGCCTGCCTCCTGCCCCACCCCCATGTTTGGTCGCCTCGCTCCTGGTCCCACCCTTACCATCTCCAGCGCTTGCCCACTGCCTGGGCCATGCCCAGCCCCACCCTAACCCCAGGATCCTTCCATGTGCCCCCCTTTGCCTCCCGTTGGGCCGTCTGAATCATCCCGCCCCCCCCCCCCCCGCCCCGGTCTTGCCCCCCCACCTGGTCCTGCCCGCCCCCACCTGGTCCTGCCCCCTTCCTGGTCCTGCCCACCCCTGAGACCCTGACCCGCCCCGCGGCCCCACCCCCGTGTGCCCAGCGGAAGCAGCAGCAGCAGGAAGGCAACTACCTGAAGCACGTGCAGCTGGATCAGCGGAGCCTGGTTCTGAACACCGAGCCCACCGAGTGCCCGGTGTGCTACAGTGCCCTGGCGCCGGGTGAGGCTGTGGTGCTGCGCGAGTGTCTGCACACCTTCTGCAGGTGCGGGCCCGCCCCCGGCCCCAGCAATGTAGTACCTGGGGCTGGAAGCGGGTGGGACCCAGGACTCTTCCAGCTGTTTGGGCATCCTCACAAACTTGGGAGGTAGGCACCATGTCCCCGTCTTGCAGAGGAGGGATGTGGGGTACAGAGAGGCTGCACAGCTCAGACCTTCTGGCGCCAGAGCCCGCACCCTCCCACCACACCGCCGGGCCCATGCAAGGGCAGTGAGGCCCTTGCCTGACAGCCTGGGCCAGCCCCGCCCTGCCGCTTGCTGGTGGACAGTCTGCCCTCTGAGGCTCTCCTCCTAGCCCTGGCTGTGGAGAGCATGTCCTCCTTCACAGCACACATTTGATGAGCTGCCTTGGCTGCCAGGGACTGGGCTAGGTCTGGGAAGCCCTGAATGCCCACAAAAGCTCAGTTTCTGCCTGCTGAAGCTTACCTTCCCATGGGCAGGCTGATGTTAATCAGATAATTACTGATATAATTGTAAATTGTCTTGTAAGTTAAGTGTCAGTGGCTTTTGATAAGCAGCAGAGGCCCTGCCCTAGAAGGGGTCAGGGAAACCCCTAGGGAAGCCAGGCTTGAGCAGACCAGGGGGTCCACAGTGGGTGCATGCCTGGCCTGCCTGCCCAGGAAGGGGTCAGCGTGTCTGGAGCAGAGGGATGGAGTGGGTAGGGCATAGGGTCAGAGGTATTAGGGAGGGTGCGTCCCCACGGCTTTCAGATTTGCTCTGGGTGGGGTCGGATGGGAGGTTATGAGGAGGGACATGGCTGATCCAGGGAGTCCAGTGAAGAGGCTTCTGCAGTTCTGCAGGTGAGGGGTGAGGCAACCTTGGCTGGAGCAATATGGATAGCAATGAGGTGGACAGACATGGTGGGTTGATGGGAGGCACCAGAAGAAAGGAAGAAATTGGGGAGGAGCCAACCCGAGGTCAGGCCTCACCATGTGAGGGCCGCAGTCCTGGGGGGTGGGGTTCAGATGACCCCTAACCCCCACCCCTATCCCCTCCTCACCCCTCCCCCAGGGAGTGTCTGCAGGGCACCATCCGCAACAGCCAGGAGGCTGAGGTGTCCTGCCCCTTCATCAACAACACCTACTCATGCTCGGGCAAGCTGCTGGAGAGGGAGATCCGAGCGGTAAGACCTGGGGGAGGGAGGGGCACCCCCCTGCCCCACCCCCACCCCCCCATCCCAGGGAACTGGGCCGGGAGCTGGCCAGTGGGAACGGGTTTGAGAGTCCCAGTCTTGGGTTCCAGGCATTTATCAAGAGCCTTCTCTGTGTGGGATGCTGGCGGCCCAAGTAGTGGGCAGGATAGAAATTGGGGGAAATAGCTAGTAAGGAAACTACCCTTGTGGGGAAAAGACAGCAGAGAAGTTAACAACAGTGGGGAGAGGACTTCTGGGGCCAGATGGCCCAGGTGACCTCAAAGGCAGATACACAGCCCCTCGGTGCTTTGGTTTGCTCGCCTTGAAGTGATAGCAAAAGTGTTAGTGGCTTAGTCGTGTCCGACTCTTTGCGACCCTGTGGGCTGTAGCCTGCCAGGCTCCTCTGTCCATGGCATTCCTTTTGGCCACACTTCGTGGGTCCCAACCAGGGATCAAACCCTCACCCCCTCCACTGGCAGCACAGTCTTAACCACTGGACTGCCAGGGAAGGCACTAACCTGTTCTTTGGATGGAGTTTGTAAACACTGCTGTGTTGGACTTCATGGGTTGGGGCTTCCTGAGGGTGGCCAGAAGGGCATGCACCAAGGTTTCTGAGTCTCGGGCACCAAGGTTGTGGTCTGCTGGCAGCTCCTGAGCCCCGAGGATTACCAGCGGTTTCTGGACCTGGGCATCTCCATTGCGGAAAACCGCAGTGCCTTCAGCTACCACTGCAAGACCCCGGACTGCAAGGGATGGTGCTTCTTTGAGGATGATGTCAATGAGTTCCCCTGCCCTGTGTGCTTCCATGTCAACTGCCTGCTTTGCAAGGTGGGGACAGGGACCCACCCTGCCCAGTTACTCTGGTCCTGCCAGGAGCTCATTGCAAGTCCAAGCTTATTATGGGAATAAGAGAAGAGAGCTGGTATACTGACCCCGTTCCCATGGCTTAGAGCTGTGTGTCAGTGTCTGGGTGTGGCTTGAGTCCTGACCTGAGCCTAACCCTTAGATTGAGCCCTGACCCTGGACTGAGCCTCTAAATAACCCTGGCCCAAGACTGAGCCCCAGTCCTGCCCTCTGACTAATTCTGAGCCTAAGTCACAGACCAACCTCAGCCCTGGCCTCAGACTGTCAGCCTCTGTCCCGAATGAGCCCTGACCCCAAACCCAGACTGAGCCCTACCTGACCGTCACTTCAGGCCATCCCTGTCGTCATTCTTTCAGCTGATGACCACTGTAGAGACTGGTCTTGAGGGAATAGACAGGGCCGAGCCTGGTCACAGCCCTGTAAGCTCACTCTCAGAGCATTATACCAGCAACCAGGGCAGAACTCAGCTGGGGACAAGGGGCTGTGCCCTTGTCCCAAGGAGAGGTGCTTTAGGGGTTTCTCTGCCTATCAGGACTTAAATAGGTATATATGATTATTATCATATGTGATGACCCTGGCTTCACCACGTTGGCCTCAGTGTCCTCTTCTGTAAAATGGGTATGTAGTTTACAAAGGAAGCCTCTGTTGCTGACACCATCTAGGCATTAAGTGCTTGTGTGGATGCCTGCTCTGGCCCTAACTCTCTGGGAACTTTCTCACCTCGAGCGCCTCATCCACTCCAGGCCGTCCATGAGCAGATGAACTGCAAGGAGTACCAAGATGACCTGGCCCTGCGAGCCCAGAACGATATGGCTGCCCGGCAGACGACGGAGATGCTGAGAGTGAGGCTGGGTCAGGGCTGAGGGCCGAGGATCTGAGTTTTGGGGAGCGAAGGGGGCTTCTTAGCCAGGGCTGTGGTTCATGCAGCCCTGGAGGCTCTGAGCTCCTGCTGGCATCTCCCCCATCCAGAGACAGCACTCAGGACACGTGGTCAGGGGGCGGGCAGGAGGGAGTGTTAGGGTGAAGGGAGGAGGCTGCAGACACAGGAGAGGGGGCTGCATGCAGCTGGGCCTGGGTAGAGCAGCATGGGAGAGTGAATCAGACCCCGGAGGGTGGCCGGTTTCTCTCTGCAGTGGGGTGGGGGCCAAGGAGTGGGCTGGGTCTGAGGTCAGCACCTTCTCTGCTCCAGACCATGCTGCAGCAGGGTGAAGCCATGCACTGCCCACAGTGCCAGATCGTGGTGCAGAAGAAGGACGGCTGCGACTGGATCCGGTGCACTGTCTGCCACACCGAGATCTGCTGGGTCACCAAGGGCCCCCGCTGGGGCCCTGGGGTGAGTGCCCTGAGGGCTCAGGAGTACTGGGGGAGGGTGCCCTAGAAGAGAGTTCGGACAAGTCAGCCCACGGGCCAAGTCTAACCCCAGAGCCTGCATTTGTGAAGTTCATGAACTAAGCTTTTTGCATTTTTAAAAAATGCAAATCAGTGCAATGCATATCAATGCCTATGGCTGATTCATGTTGATGTTTGGCAGAGACCAACACAATACTATAAAGCAATTATCTTTCAATTAAAAATAAATTAATTTTTAAAAAAGAAAAAGAGGGAGGCTTGAAGCTAGAAAGCCTGGGTTCTAACTTTTCCACAAACTAATTGTGTGTCTATTTTTGATTAAATGAGAATAATAACAGAGAAATACAGTTTAAAAAATGGTTGAACGTATTAAAAGGAGCATATTTTGTGACATGTAAAAATTATATGAAACCCAAATTTTAGTGTCCATAAGTAAAGTTTTGTGGGAGCCCCGCACATTCGTTGGCATACTGTCTGTGGCTGCTTTTGCGCTGCAAGGACAGAGCCCGTCTGGCTGGCAAAGCCTCAGGTAACTGTCTGACCTTTTACAGAAATGTTTGCCCACCCCTGCCCTAGAGGGTGCATGTGGGAATCTGAAGTGGAGGAGTGGGTCCCTGGCTCTGGCACACACTGACCGTGTGGTTATGCTGTTACTCCCTTATCTGAGCCTCAGTTTCTTCTTCTGTAAAATGGGGATGATAGCAGAACCCATCTCAGGCTTCTTGTCAGAATCAAATGGAAAACATGCGAGAGCAGTGGTATCTGTCATCGTGAGGAGTGTCCCTGGAGTTGGGGCTGGTGTTGTTCATGTCCAGGCAGACAGTGAGACAGGTGGAGGTGGAAGGAGCACTCCCTCCTGCCGCCAGCACGCTGACCCCCTCTAAATATGCAAAAATTCATCAGGTCCTTTGCGGCTCTGGGTCTCGGGTTGGGTAGATAGAGACCACATAATTGAAGGTGCTATGAGAGACCAGAAAGGCCCGGAGAGCTGCCTCCATCTGGTAGCTGAGGCTGTGAGGATCATTCTTAGCAGCAGGATGTGTCCAGGCCAAGGCCCAGGGTGGGCGAGCGTGCTTCGTGGGTGCGATGGGGTGCCTGGGGTGGGGAGGGCACTGCTCTCTTCTCTGCCCTGACCTTCTCTTCTCTCCCCCGTCATCCCCCAGGGCCCAGGAGACACCAGCGGGGGCTGCCGCTGCCGGGTGAATGGGATTCCGTGCCACCCCAGCTGTCAGAACTGCCACTAAGCTGAGGATGGTCTGGCCCCCCTGCTGACCCAGCCCCACATCTACAAACTTCTGTGGGACAGACCTGGTGCTTTGGCTCTGATTTCTGGCCGGGAAGATGCCTTTGTGCTTGGTTGAGACAGGGGCCCTGAAGTGGCCAAGGCCCCTGAGCTGCATGGATGGCCTTGTTTGCTGTGGGCATTGCAAGGGCCCTGCCTGAGCTGGCCGTTGTCCATGGCTGCATCTGCCCCAGTGCCTTTGTCCTTCCCCTGGGGCTCCCATCTGTCTGACCCAGCCTTAAACACAGCCCCAGCCAGAGGCCTTGCTGGATGGAGCCTCTGAGAGTCCCAGATGAGTCCATACATCCCTCATCCACCACGCTCATCTGCTGAACACTCAGCCTGCGGCCTCCCCCGTTGGCTTTCTTGGGGTGACTTTTCTCTGGCTTTGCTGTTGGAGGCCTGGGGGCCTCTTAGAATTGCTGCTAATTCTGCTTAGAGCCAGGAGGGAGACCTGGCATCCTGAAGACAGCCCAGCCAGTTCAGCTTCTGTACTCCCTCTTCGCTGCCTGTGTACACTGATTAAAATGGTTTCCCTTAAAGGCCTGAGCGTGATGTCATGAGAGAGAGCAGAGGGGTCCTGGGCTGGTACTCAGCACAGAGACAGGCAGGGGCCCAGGCTCTCTGGGAATTGCAGTCAAAAGTTGATGCATTGGCCCTGTCAGTGTAGAACGAGGGTGTGAACAGAGCACAGGGATCCTTGCTTCGGACTTGGCGCCCCTGCACCCACTTGAGGGTGGCATACTCTGGGTCAACCTTGGCCTGGACAGGTAGCTTGCACTGTGTTGAGAGTCTGCCAGCTGGTGTCTGCAGGTGTGTGTGGGCTTCAGGCGGGGAGGGGGGTGCTGAGGCAGCAGCTACAAGCTGGCAGGAAATTCTTGCTGTGAATTTCTAGCCTCTCAGTGGGCATCCACTGTCAGGGAACAGAGATATTTCAGGAAGAGGTGAACGTGCTGCTGCTGTGGGGTGATGCTGTGAGCATTTTTAACATCTGAGATAAGATGGCACATTGGTCCAGTGCTCTTTACTAGACCTATTCTGTGCTGGTCAGATGAATAAAATACGGTTCTGGGTGTTCATTCTGGAAGTTTTTACCTCTTACTCAGACCCCTCCTATGCCCCCCTGCCCCCAGTGAAGGCCAGCACACTGTCTGAGCTGGGATGTGGAGCATGATTACAACAGGTGGAGGGCATCTTTGTGGCTCAGTCTAGACTCCAGGAGTTTTGAAAGTGTTAGTCACTCAGTCGTGTCCAACTCTTTGCGACCTCATGGACTGTAGCCTTCTCTGTCCTCTGTCCATGGGATTCTCCAGGCAGGAATACTGGAGTGGGTTGTCATTTCCTCCTCCAGGGGATCTTCCCAACCCAGGGATCAAACCCGGGTCTCCCATATTATAGGCATATTCTTTACTGTTTGAGCCACCAGGAGTTGGGGGATGTCATTTGGAGGGAGAGGGAGGGGAAGGGCTTATTCTAGACCTTAGAAAGGAACTGTCATTCTGTTCCTGGGTGCCAAGGTTCAAGAGAGTTGACCCCAGGCTCTGTGAGCAGAGAGGTGAGAGAATGTGAGCGCTTTCCTGCTCTGCATCGGCTCATGAAGCTTTCCCTCACTGAGAGTCAGGAGTCAGGTAGAGCCAGTGACCAGAGGAAACAGCAAGCTGAGCTGAGCTGGGCCCCAGGAGAGCGCGGGGCCCACCCAGACCAGGACCAGGTGCTTGCTCTCACCAGCTCCTCCAGCCTCCCTCTCCTGCCAGGGTCTGTCTTGGCCTTGGTGAACCATAGAGGCCTGTTGTGGAGCAAAATAGACCACTCTCGGTGCACAGGTACGAACTACTAAGCCCCAGGCTATAACCTGTCTACCTAGTCTTGTTTTATAAACTTGAAATTGGTTGCTAGTATTTTTACATTGAAGATGCTACATTAAAATCTAGATACCCAACTTGAAAAATGTTGAAGCTCGGTAATCTGGGTCCTCATTTCCACGTGGCAGGTCCAGATCACATGATGTTCTTGATCCAGCTCACTGCAGTCCTTCACCCCTAGCGCTTGTCACACTACACTTCCCAGTGTCCTTGCACCATTCTTTTGAGATTGAGTACTAAGAAATGTTAATGAAACATTTCTTTACCCATGGCTGTATCAAAAAAAAGAGGACAAGAAGGAAGTGGGAACTGCATGGGCCGCATTTTTCACTTGGCCCACTCCATCTGCACCAAGGCAGGCAGTGGGTTTATGTCTGCTGCAGCCAAATGGGGGGCCCAGGAGGGCAAATGGGAGGGTGCAGGGCTGTCCCAGGGTTCTAGCTTCCAGCATCATACATCACATGCCAGAGCATGAATAATCTAAGATGGGCAGGCTCATAAGTGCTCCCCACTGCAGTCAAGTGGAGGTACCACTCTTTCCCAAGGAGTCACCCCAAACAGGGCCCTGGCACGAACTCTCCAGGGCGGACTTGAAACCAAACCCACAGGCTTTGAACTCAAGCCATCTACCTGAGGAAGCAGCAGGAGGTCCCGATGTACTTGTGTGACACAGGTTTTCTCTCCAGGGCCAGTGGAAGCACACTGCTCAGATAAAGGGCAGCTGCTGATGTGGGCAGGAAGTGGCGGATGGGCCCCACAGCCTGTGTCAGAGTAACACGTGTCTTCTAGCGTCTGGGGCTGCCATGAAAGCCACTCATTTAAAAAGCAGGAAGCTGGAGGCAAGCCCATAGCCTTGCCAGCTCACAAAGGCTGCTCAAAAAATTCCAACCATATGTTAAGTCTGGAGAAAAGGGCCTTTGAGAACTGGAAAAAAGCAGCAGGATCCACCAGCAGCAAACATGGAGGGGACAGTAGGGCAAATGGAAGAACGCAAGCCAGGCTGAGCCTCAGGCACCATCATCTGGTAGTTGTATTTGGCAGAAGCTTCTGGCCTATTCTTCAACCACCACTTAATCCAGGGATGAGCTCCCGGGGCACAAGTGCAAGGCTGAATTAAGGTGTTTATTGATCCATATATGTTCACAGGTATGAAATCAAAATACTTGTACAACTTCAGTTTGTAAAACTTTTTCACACGTCAGTTCATTAAACCATCCATGGTGGGATGAGACTATTTCTATTTTACTGTCATTTACAATGAGTTGAGAGATGTAGTGCCTTGGAGAAGCTCACATTGCCAACGAGGGACATGTTTGCCATCATGTCATCAGTCACTCTCTCCAAACTGAGTTTTGGTCATGGCCCATCCTCACCCTACAAACTGCCTACAGAGGAAGTCCCAGTTGCCTTCCACGACTCTCAAAACTCTCCTCCGCCTGAGCCCCAAGTCCTCTTTCATTGACAATGCACACTCCATCTCTGTACAAAACACCCACACTTTTTATTCAGCTGTTATTTTTAGTTTTCCCTTCAGCCTTGTGTGTTGTGCAGTATCTTCTTCACTCTAACGCTCTCCCAACTGAGCTATTTCGGCGAGGCTTGTGCAGTACTTTCTGTATTACGTTTCTCCAATTCTCCAATAGCAACTGGGTGTCCAGTAATTCAATCCAGTTCTGACACTAACTACCTGGGGAGTTAGCATCAGATACCACAAGTTAAAGTGCTCAGTCCCACAAGGCTGTCCCATTTCAGATCCAGTTGCAAATGTGGTGCCCAGACCACCTACACTTCTGCCTGGTCAACTACAAGTTCACTAGTTTCCACAAAACCCTCTCAGGTTCAATAATTTGCTGGAAGTGCTCACAGAACTCAAGAAAACACTTCACTTACATGTACTGATTTACTGTAAAGGACACAACTCAGTAACAGCCAAATACAAGAGATGCATAGGGCAAGGAATGGCGGGAGGGCTGCGATATGCCCAAGCCTTCTTGGGCCATGTGATCCTCCCAGCACTTTGATGTATTCGGCAACCCAGCAGCTCTCTGAATCTCTGAACCAAGAGTTTCTGCAGCACTCAATGACCAGCCTCTCCTCCCCTCCCAGGAGGTCAGTGGTTAGGCTCAAAATTCCCACTATGTAAATTGGTACAGCCACTATGGAGAACAGTATGGAGGTTACTAAAAAACTAAAATGATCCTGTAATGCCATTCCTGGGCATATGTCCAGGGAAAAACATGATCTGAAAGGAAATACACACCCCAGTGTTCACTGCAGCACTGTTTACAACAGCCAAGACATGGACGCTACCTAAACGTCCGCTGACAGAGGAATGGATAAAGATGTGGTACACGTACACAATGGAATACTTCTCATTAAAATAAGTGAAATAATGCCATTTGCAAAAACATGGGTGGACCTGTCATACTGAGTGAAGCAATTCACACAAAGGAGAAATATGATATCCCTTGTATGTAGAATCTAAAAAAAAAAAATGATATGAATGAATAAACTTACTTAGAAAACAGAAACATACTCAGACTTCATGAACCAGCTTATGGCTGCCAGGGTGGAGGGGTGGGGATGGGGGAGGGGATAGTGAGTTTGGGGTGAACAGGTACACACTACTGTATTTAAAATGGATAACCAACAAGGCCCTACTGTATAGCACATAGAATTCTGCTCAATGTTATGCGGCAGGCTGGATGGGAGGAGTGTTTGGGGGAGAATGGGTACATGTATATGTATGGATGAGTCCCTTCACTGTTTACCTGAAACTATCATGTTGTTTGCTAATCGGCTATACTCCAATACCATAAAAAGTTATAATAATTCCCCACTGTATAATCTTTCTGGTGTTCTGTCCCATCCTGAGGCTATTGAAGTGTCCAACCTTAACTCACCTAATATCAACCCAGTTGGAATCAAAAGGAAATCATTATGAACAACAAAAGATACCCCATCACTCAGAAAATTCAAAGGCTTTTAGGGGAACTGGTGACAAAAACCCAAATATTTATTATACCACACATACCTTTCCTTCAGTTTTCCATTTATCAAAATTCCCTTTACATTTAATCAACTATGAAACTGCCACTGA